TTGGGGGGGGGGGGGTTCGGACTCAACTGGTATTTCGATCCGTTGGATACAACCTTTCTATTATCGAATGTCTACAGAAATGGATCTTGCCGGAGAGCATCAATACCGCACCGAATACTAGGGACGTTTCGAGGCCTCACTTTCACAAAATATAGTTGAATATGGGCTTAAAAATCCACTAACGACTGAAGTGGTGTTCAGTTCTAACATAAACGCACCTAGATGAGTCCCACCCAGAAATACACCGGGTTGTGAGAGTAATGACCAGAGGACTGAATTGCTCGTAGAATGCAATTCAACCAAACTAAATGAACTTTCAGGTAGACTGCGAACACAAACGTAGAACTGAGAAGTCAACATCGGGAGTAAGCTGGCATCGAATACGGGAGCTAGAGAGGCAAGAAATAATATGCGATGTTAGTGATCCGGATCTGATATGCTGGTTGATAACCTCGGTAGATATACGGCGGAGCATAGAGGATTAGGCGCACATGGAGGGTCGAAGGGATAAAAACTCTTCCACTTTCACACATAGCTACCGGCTGCTGTGAATGTCATTTGAATAACAACGGGCAAAATTTACCTGAGGCAAGTAGCGCCTTTGGGGCAAACGCCCGGGGACCTTCTGGAGACAACTAGACACAACAGAAAGTCCTGCCAATGGGGACACGATCAAGTCACTAAGAACCAGCACTTTTCAAATGCACCAGAGCACACATGTATCAATCCTACCAGATGGTTTCCCATGTAGAAGTACTACTCCTTGAAATGCGTCTAGTATTCATTTGCATCAGTATTCTGCCGAGCCGTACAATGAGTTTATTGTGGGCGAAGATCTCCAAATATACCACATGGATTATAGCTTCGGGTACATACTCATTATAGTTTTCGCGTTGATGTTTCAAGACTTTGGTTCCAGATCACCTTTGTGCGGTTTGCGTCCGTTGGATAATGTGCGTACCGGCGTTGCGTTCGTCGGAATGAGGTGCAGGCTATTAGTATTAAGGCAACGTGAGCAAAACAAACGCTGTTGATGTTCATAAATTAGGTTCCAGATGCTTTTGCACTGTAGTCCCAATGATCAGGGAGGTGAACTAGTGTTGAATGATATTTCAGATTTCATTCATCTGAATGTTCTGGGGGATCGGCTGCTTCCGGACATTACATCGCACACTCAGGCGTTAAATGAGATCCATTTTTCAAACACAGGTCTGGAATGACGATGTACCTTTGCAGTTGCAATCACCTCTGGATGGCCCTCTACAAACAAATTACTTACCAAAATAGAATAACCATCGAGTCAAGAGGGGTTGCTGTCAACTGTCGCCTAAAATGGCGGAGACTGTTGATGGACACTAAGCTAACTTGAAGTTTTAAAACTATGAGATAAATGAACCTCATTTGGAAACGTATTATCGCCCAATTGAAGTTCCAGCTACACTGCGAAAATTTGTTTCACTTTTGCTGGTATTTGCCTGTTATCGATCATTTATGTTCGGTACAGAGCTCGACGCGGATGGATAAAGTTGGAAGCTAGGAACAGTTAAATCACTTTAAGCACAATCAGGTGAAAAAAAGAGTGGTTTTTCATCAGTGACTGGCCGCACTTTACCCGGCAGCAGAAATACGTTAGAACAATCGGAAAAATTGAATGGTTTTTATTTCGTTTGTAACCAGTAGCTATTCACAACACATCTTCAAAGCCGGTTAATCGATTCTTCGTCACTTTGACCAATCCAGCATGCCACTGAGCAATTCGAGTTCGTTCATCTAGCACAGATCCTACAGTTTCCTCTAATTATGTGACAGGTCAGTGCATTTGGACAATGTGAAACCATCAGTTTACACAATTTACGTTTATTTGTGTGAGGATCAATCTATCTGCCTTTGATCGGAAAACACGTGATGGAAATACCAACAGCCGAGACCTCAAATATGTCAGGCTTCTTTCTAGACTGTCGTCTCTCCTGAAGCGTATATGCAGGTCAAGATTACTCATTAAATCACAAACTACGAGATGGGAAGACTACAAAACATTTTTGTTCCTATTGAGCCGACATACTTGGCTCCTATTACGGAACGAAGACTTGTGTGTGAAACCCTCAATAAACGAGTCCGTGAAGGGGGATGTATTTTCGATGATTATGACGATGCTTATACCAAAAGAACGAACGTTTTCTAGGTGCACTTTAGTTATTCCACCAGTAAATAGACTTGTGTTTAACGTGCAAGCACCGATTTTTCACACTACTTAATACGGTTATCTATACTCCATTATCTTTTCCTCGGAGACATGAGCCAGACGAGTAGCAAGCAATTTATGAGTGAGTTTCGCCTATTACATTCACACGCATGATGATAGTTCGTTGTATTGAGCATAATGGAGTCTCTTGTGCTTCAAGTGACCTTCATGAAGTACACTTGGGACACTGCTGTCTCACACGATTTGATTGACTGAAGAGAAAGCCCTTAAAGGAGAATGTACACAGAAGAGAACACTTTCCTTTGGTTTTGTGTTTCTACCATATGGGAAGAATTCCTTACCTGTGTGGACAATTTTTGTGTTCAATCCACACAAGAAACGATGTAGTGTAGATGTAACTGAATTCCAAAGGTCCTAGCATTTCGGGCCTCCAGTTGTTCAGGAATACCTTTTATCTTCGTTGTAAACTTATGGCCACTTGGACGGTCGAGCCCAGTTGTTATACTGGCTCCGCGAGCATCCGAAAACTCAGAGAAAAGTAGCACGTTTCCGTATCAAGAAGTCAGGCGGCACAGTTATGCTGCCCTATGTGGTGGGGTTGTAAGACAAGTGCGATCAACGCCCCCAGCAGGTCTATAGTGAAGACTTCGTCAACGCGAACCCTTCCAAGCCGGAATCACGCTTGCTGTCCACGAGTCTGTTTCACGAGCCAACATAAGCCGACGGAGCACAAGTGACGCGAATAGTCTGGTTAAGACTAAGGTCAAGCTGATTTCCCAGTGGTTACCACAATCATTATGAGCCCCCTTTTGAAAATGGACACTATCACTGACTCTCCCCAATCATCTGAGGTAGACTCCTTTGCCTGAATGCGGGTAACCAGGTCAGATAAGCACTGACCTGGACCTCACTCGCATCTTTGAACAATGCAGGTGGGAGGTCATCCAGACCAGTGCCGCTTGAAACCACAAGCAGTCATAAACCTCTGATGCCATAGGGGGTTCCAGGTTCGTCACGTCAAGTTATGTTTGGGACCGGCTAGGACATTTCTCCGTAATTTAAGCAGTGTCACTTTTGTCTGATATCCAGTGCTTGGGTGGGCCTTGTAGCACCGTGTCACACGTGAAACTCCCAGCGCTATGTAAAGAGGTAGTGATCTCGTCCCAGTATGCGTTCACATCTGATGGTGCAGCAGTAGGAAAACATTCCAGAAGATGATTCTGGTAAATTCACCTGGCATTCAGATCCGCCAAGTCTCTCGGTTCCCAGGTCATTTGTCCGCACCTTACGCGGTTATGGAAAACAAAGGGAGAATCGACTCCGAGCGCGTGCCTGGCATTCAGATCCGCCAAGTCTCTCGGTTCCCAGGTCATTTGTCCGCACCTTACGCGGTTATGGAAAACAAAGGGAGAATCGACTCCGGACGAGCGCGTGGCCGGAATCCACAAATATGTTATAAAACGATCGGTTATTGATCAGTGCCATCGGTAATGCATGGCGATGTGATCGATTTTGGTTTGTAGCTAGCACACTGAGGAAGGACACTATGTTGCCACACGAATTCAGTCATTTCTGGAGTTAGCGCTGCATAAAAACAGTCTGCGATCAGCACACAGCTGAAACAATCGTTCGCCATTATCCGTATGTACCCATTCCGAGTCATGTTGACCACCTAATTCAGTCTCAGATGCGCTAAGTCTGTACACTTGTGCATTTAGAACTCCGGCGAGCATGATGATATATGAGCTTTCAGCCCACCGTAACAGGGCGTTCAAGGCGTCATAAAACCTGCATTTGATAGTGTCAAAGCTACAGTCAGCTGGGGCGCAAGCAGACACGACAACTTCCCGCTTGTGAGACCCCTTACCTTCCCGCTTGTGAGCCCCCTTCGCAGACGTTACCAGACAAGTCGCACAGAGGCGAACATCAACAGGTATCCGGTAAATCAAGGACCCTCCCGCCCGGTGACTCAGGAAGATAAAAAACCCTGCACATCCTGACATAGAAGCCTCTGGATCGCCAGAGGTGCGCAACCGGAAGCGGTTGGACAGTGATGGGACGGTTAGTTCAATCACTTGAATCCTTGCATCTTGAATTCTATTTCCTGGGACACAGAACACATCAGCGCCAAGTGAATCCAATGTGACAGTAACAGCAACTTATTGTCCTGCTTGCTTCGGAGTGCGGACACTGAAGGCAGCCAGATAGACTGGGCGTCAAGACTTGAAGATTGATTTTGAGATGCCTGAGGCTGTCAGCGCCAGCTGAGGAGCAGGTGCTGCGGCGAAAACCTATGCAATACGAATGGGGTTGCCAGTCTGAACTGACGGGCTTACGAAGAGTTATTATTGTGGTGAGGGGAGGTGGGAGCAAAAGTATGAGAAAGAGAAAGAAGGGAGGCGTCAGCAGTAGCCTGTTTTCGCTTACCCGGCCTGCTGTATGCAGTAGGTAAGGCGACCCTGCTGATGGTACCACGCGACAGTATTGTTGGTTGTGGGTATAAAGATTGTACATGCACTGGGATTCTGCCAGGGCGCTCAGAACCAGACAGGAGGACGATTATGGTCCTCGAGTAGAAGCTTTGGCTCAAAAGTCTGAACGCAAGGCAAGGGTAGTTGAGGGGAAACGCCGGTGCACTACCATTTTTAAACAAGTTGCCACTAATGTTCCAACCCTCAACCTGAAAGACTAGGAAGCTGAATTGGTCAGACCTCTACTTGCAGCGTAACGTGTACATCCCCGAGTATAGCTCAGTGGGTCACAGAGGCACACAAACCGTCATATCACTGTAACGTCCAGTCTCCAGCTGATGGGGTTGGATCAGTTTTTCCGGATTATCCAGCGTATTTCTTCTCCGCACAGCAGATTCCAAAGATTGCCTTAATAGGGTGGTAGGTCCACGCTCTACGTGATGGCGCGTTACGTAAATGGCAAATCGGCAACCCAGCTTTCAGGTTTAAAGGTGCGAATCACATGGGTTCTAAGAGGGGCCTTCTGGTCGACATTGCGAGATGGATTTTAGTCCGATTGGTGGAAAAGTAAATATCACAAGACCTCTCAAATGGGTAAGACTCACCTCATCTATCTCGGCATCCAGACCAACCATTTTTCGCTGATCATACCTCCCAGCCAGTTCTAATCTAACCTTTTGCTCACGTTTCATTCGCAGGAGAGCCTCTGCCGTCTTCCAATTACGGAAAGCCTTCACGCGTTCATCCAACGCATCCTGAAAAGGGATAAGGGATTAGGTCTATCATACCCTATCACGTTGGTAAAAGGTGCATATATATATGCAAGAAATCAGGATGTGAAGACTTCGTCAACGCGAACCCTTCCAAGCCGGAATCACGCTTGCTGTCCACGAGTCTGTTTCACGAGCCAACATAAGCCGACGGAGCACAAGTGACGCGAATAGTCTGGTTAAGACTAAGGTCAAGCTGATTTCCCAGTGGTTACCACAATCATTATGAGCCCCCTTTTGAAAATGGACACTATCACTGACTCTCCCCAATCATCTGAGGTAGACTCCTTTGCCTGAATGCGGGTAACCAGGTCAGATAAGCACTGACCTGGACCTCACTCGCATCTTTGAACAATGCAGGTGGGAGGTCATCCAGACCAGTGCCGCTTGAAACCACAAGCAGTCATAAACCTCTGATGCCATAGGGGGTTCCAGGTTCGTCAGTTCAAGTTATGTTTGGGACCGGCTAGGACATTTCTCCGTAATTTAAGCAGTGTCACTTTTGTCTGATATCCAGTGCTTGGGGGGCCTTGTAAGCACCGTGTCACACGTGAAACTCCCAGCGCTATGTAAAGAGGTAGTGATCTCGTCCCAGTATGCGTTCACATCTGATGGTGCAGCAGTAGGAAAACATTCCAGAAGATGATTCTGGTAAATTCACCTGGCATTCAGATCCGCCAAGTCTCTCGGTTCCCAGGTCATTTGTCCGCACCTTACGCGGTTATGGAAAACAAAGGGAGAATCGACTCCGGACGAGCGCGTGGCCGGAATCCACAAATATGTTATAAAACGATCGGTTATTGATCAGTGCCATCGGTAATGCATGGCGATGTGATCGATTTTGGTTTGTAGCTAGCACACTGAGGAAGGACACTATGTTGCCACACGAATTCAGTCATTTCTGGAGTTAGCGCTGCATAAAAACAGTCTGCGATCAGCACACAGCTGAAACAATCGTTCGCCATTATCCGTATGTCCCCATTCCGAGTCATGTTGACCACCTAATTCAGTCTCAGATGCGCTAAGTCTGTACACTTGTGCATTTAGAACTCCGGCGAGATGATGGATATATGAGCTTTCAGCCCACCGTAACAGGGCGTTCAAGGCGTCATAAAACCTGCATTTGATAGTGTCAAAGCTACAGTCAGCTGGGGCGCAAGCAGACACGACAACTTCCCGCTTGTGAGACCCCTTCGCAGACGTTACCAGACAAGTCGCACAGAGCGAACATCAACGTTACCAGACAAGTCGCACAGAGGCGAACATCAACAGGTATCCGGTAAATCAAGGACCCTCCCGCCCGGTGACTCAGGAAGATAAAAAACCCTGCACATCCTGACATAGAAGCCTCTGGATCGCCAGAGGTGCGCAACCGGAAGCGGTTGGACAGTGATGGGACGGTTAGTTCAATCACTTGAATCCTTGCATCTTGAATTCTATTTCCTGGGACACAGAACACATCAGCGCCAAGTGAATCCAATGTGACAGTAACAGCAACTTATTGTCCTGCTTGCTTCGGAGTGCGGACACTGAAGGCAGCCAGATAGACTGGGCGTCAAGACTTGAAGATTGATTTTGAGATGCCTGAGGCTGTCAGCGCCAGCTGAGGAGCAGGTGCTGCGGCGAAAACCTATGCAATACGAATGGGGTTGCCAGTCTGAACTGACGGGCTTACGAAGAGTTATTATTGTGGTGAGGGGAGGTGGGAGCAAAAGTATGAGAAAGAGAAAGAAGGGAGGCGTCAGCAGTAGCCTGTTTTCGCTTACCCGGCCTGCTGTATGCAGTAGGTAAGGCGACCCTGCTGATGGTACCACGCGACAGTATTGTTGGTTGTGGGTATAAAGATTGTACATGCACTGGGATTCTGCCAGGGCGCTCAGAACCAGACAGGAGGACGATTATGGTCCTCGAGTAGAAGCTTTGGCTCAAAAGTCTGAACGCAAGGCAAGGGTAGTTGAGGGGAAACGCCGGTGCACTACCATTTTTAAACAAGTTGCCACTAATGTTCCAACCCTCAACCTGAAAGACTAGGAAGCTGAATTGGTCAGACCTCTACTTGCAGCGTAACGTGTACATCCCCGAGTATAGCTCAGTGGGTCACAGAGGCACACAAACCGTCATATCACTGTAACGTCCAGTCTCCAGCTGATGGGGTTGGATCAGTTTTTCCGGATTATCCAGCGTATTTCTTCTCCGCACAGCAGATTCCAAAGATTGCCTTAATAGGGTGGTAGGTCCACGCTCTACGTGATGGCGCGTTACGTAAATGGCAAATCGGCAACCCAGCTTTCAGGTTTAAAGGTGCGAATCACATGGGTTCTAAGAGGGGCCTTCTGGTCGACATTGCGAGATGGATTTTAGTCCGATTGGTGGAAAAGTAAATATCACAAGACCTCTCAAATGGGTAAGACTCACCTCATCTATCTCGGCATCCAGACCAACCATTTTTCGCTGATCATACCTCCCAGCCAGTTCTAATCTAACCTTTTGCTCACGTTTCATTCGCAGGAGAGCCTCTGCCGTCTTCCAATTACGGAAAGCCTTCACGCGTTCATCCAACGCATCCTGAAAAGGGATAAGGGATTAGGTCTATCATACCCTATCACGTTGGTAAAAGGTGCGATTAGATAAAAAGGAAGACAAACACGGGAAATAGCGAGCGATATATGATCTTGTAAATAATCTATTCGGTCATGCATTCAGTGGGTTCCTGATCGATTAAGGGCTACTTTATTTCCCGCGAACAATCGGGACGATAAGCTAAGATCGTCATCAACGGAAACAGGATACGAAAAGGTACGAATTAAACCAATACGTTGAGATATAAAAGAAGTCCTGAACAGGTCTAAGTAAGCTACAAGCTACAACTATTGCCGTGAACGATTCCTGAGATAATCAACCGGAGTCATCATCATCATCAATTGTAAGAACCGTGTACTTGTCGTACAGTGATGACAGTTGCAACAGTCGTTCACCGATGATTTGGGGAGGTGGAGTAGATAGGTGCGCATTGGAGTCGGAAGCTGATAGGTTGGTGCGTAAATACAGCATTGTCTATACTATGGCTCCAGTTTTCGAAGCAAAAGGAAAAAATGGTTGGGAGAACATTCTCCCAAAATCGTTACCACTTGATTCCACTAAGCGTAGTTACGTGACGACTCCGAATATCAGGAAAAATCTAGCAATTTTGCAAAATATCGACGCAGATGATCGATCGTCTACAAGTGAAGCACATTGTTACGGAGAATTAGAACATTCCCGCACTCAGATGTAGCGATTTACGTGATTGGCGTAACCGCTCTACCAACCTTCGACTTTCCCGACAAGGAGCAGCAGGCTTGTTTCAAAGTAACGTTGTCGACAGGCGCTCTATGCAACCTGAAGAAAAATAAAATAATTATCCGACTGCAGCATTCTTTCGGTGACTAACTGCAATGTCACCCGAAGGAACCACATGAGCTGAGATACTGCAGGGATGGGGTTCGGACCATGGATCTTCAGGTCCGTAAGCTCGCGTTTCAAACAATAAGTTATCCCGAGATCATTCTACCAGAAACAGTGGATGATATGCATCGGATCAGGGCAGTTTTCTGTTCTTCCTATCTTTTAGCAGTATCCGAAAGGTTTGACAGAAGACGAATCCCTTTCTGGATACAAGTAAAAAATAAGTTTGCCAGCAATGAAAATGTCTACCGGCTTGAAACAAGCACATTCTATCTCCCAATATGATGCATCCTCGTCTGGAATTAAGCTGTTTCCCTCATTTGTCGCATTTTGATTTTGGGATGCAAAGAACCATTCACGACTGTCTTTAAAAACGTTATGTGGATGATATCAGTGATAACCATAGATGTTGGATCCACGGGTCATCATACACCCCCTCCCAAAATTTCGATAGCAGAGACTTCACACAAAATAAAAGGGCCACTTTTTCTGTCACCGTCAAGTCACAATGATAGAGCAGTTTGTGGATCCCGCTAGATACTCAGTCCTTACTGACATTAATTGTCTACCGGAGCAATAACACACGCTGTTGACCAGTTTTGGACTCCAAGCGATCTGAGGTCTGTCGGCTACTCACCTTTCGTACAAACTATGACTCTTCTTAAGCCGCTCAAATTCAACATACGCCACTGATACCAAGTATCAACCACTACTTCGAGAACCCAGGCTGACAGGCGAGTACCTTGCGATCCGAACTAATAAAAAATGTGTCATGCATCAACCTGGAGGTAGACCTAGTTGATCGTCATTTGATGAATTTGTGTATATGAATCCCCAAGGTAGTTTGGCAGAAAGTGACTGGGAAAACCATTATCTATAGGACAGTCAGGATGCCTTGCTTGACTTTCACTATAAGGACCATACTAGGAAACGACCCCCTTCTCGGATGGCTCAGAAAATACTTTGGAATGTCCCATTCTCTCCTGAGAAACTGAACAAAGTAGATGACGTGAAAGCCAAAGGGTTCAGTTGACAGTTGTACGAGCGGAGTGGAGGCCACATTGTTTACGTTGGGATAGAGCTGATCCCAAGTTAACATACTAAAGATGTGGATTCTGTGGATGAAGCTGTTCTGACAGCTAATAGTACAATGGCTATACAGGAACAGCTTACAGGTGGTGTCCGTGTAGGCGGAAGCACGATCCCAATATAGACTGTCTACTGGGCCTTGACAGACGATGCTCCTTTCGATCATACCGGAAAATCTCCATTGCAGAATCCGATCGTTTGTCTTCAGCAAGTCGGGATAGAACATTCAAGTTCCAAGTGCTGTCGGCTCCAGTCGTTCCAGGATTCTCTACCAAATTACCACAATGTGGCACCAAAGTTGTGGTGCACATTACGAAGAAGACCCTAACGATCCAGATTCGATGAGACAGCTTGGATATCGCCTTTTGTGAGTGACTGTTCCCACTTTATTCTGGAATGTTGATGAGTGAAACCGAGACCGGCGTACTCTTCGTAGGCGATTCATTGCTAGATAAGTGAGCTGCATCGATTGGTTATGGAAGGCAGCTCAAGTGCTTGCAGGAGAGAGTGCATTACCAAGTTCAACGGACTGCCTGCGTGGTGGAGACCAAGCTGTAAGTATTTAGCTCTCAAAAGCTATGATTCGTCAAGCCAAAGTTAAGGAATGCGTCGCGGGAAGCGGGACTGTTATGTTTTTTGCACACTTTACAAGTCAACAACGAACCATCTGTAAACGAAATATACAAAGGTAATTCCCCTCGTCACCGGATTACTTTACTGAAGCAGTTTGGTAGATGTTCTCAAACAGAACAATTTATAACAGATGTGAAAACATTTTGTTCGTGATAAGCACTGCATTGACAAAGGTTGGTCAAGATGCCCGTACTTCGCTAAATATTAAGGAAACATGAAATCGCGTTCGTGGAGGGACTTAGGAGAACCGCGTTTGGGTGCACCACTCACCTTACAAGCTTGGATCATTCCCAGCGTGTCACGGGCAAAATCGACCAAATAGGTCAGTTCAGCCTCAGCCAAAACCGCATGTTGTTGACTGACCTCCTCCTCCGTGTCCGCCAGACGTCCCAAAGCTTGGGCTAGACCTGTGTGTTCTTCCACATTAGCCAGCTGAGAAATGGTACGCGACACAGTGAACTTCGAAGAGGCCAGATCTGAATGAAGCGGAAATGACGGTAGAGCACACTAGAAAACAGGGTTCATAGAGGCAACTAGTTAATTGTTTTTGGGTGACAGAGATAGCTAGTTCGTAATTATGTATAACCTGCATGAGAATTCATCGGTGAAAGAGGAACAAGGAGCGATGGGCTGTCATCAGAGTGGCTCAAGAACAGCGGTATATCAGGAAACCTTCCACACCCGCCTCTAAAAAGCTACCGAACTACATGTCTTCCAAGTCCAAAAATTCACTGCTTTTCCTCATCAAATTTAAACGCTGTTTAAGTTGGACGGTGGGACTTGGAGCGACGATGGAACCATCGAGGACGGGCAACTCGGAGACTCACTGGCTCTACAACGAAATGGAATACGTATCTATCTTTACGTTTCACATATCAATCACAGAAACATCGCTTTGAAAATCACCTAGTTTTCAAAACGATTTTTGTGTGTGAACTAATCGCAGCTAAGGTTTCCTGATTAAAGACAAACGTCACTTGACAGTCTTCAAAATAGCCTGAAAAATGAGGCGACAAAAACTTACCTTGATTGGATGAGACAAGTAGGGACAAGGCGCTGTGGAGTCGCTTCAGTTGTCGCTCCCAACTTTCCAGTTCTTCGAATTTTAAATCAAAGTACTGAAACACAAAGAATAATGTGATGGATGAGACAGACGAATTTGGTAGAATCCTCCAATACTGGAAGGGACAGAATTGTGTGGAGGCGCGGTTTGAGTTTCGTTATGCAAAGTGAAAATAGTCTAAGACGAGGAATCAAGGATAGTTATATAGCTTTAGACTATAGAATTCTGTGAAAGCGGTTGATCAGCGGTTTGATTAGTTTAGTGTATCAGTGACATACCACGGTCTGTCTCATTGGTAGGATTTAAGAACAAACACCTGCTGAGTACTCAAAAAACCAAAATGCTCAGGGAGCATCGTGAGCCGAAATGCTGATAAATCCTCATACTTTCCGGTTTTCTATGCAGTATTACTTTTAATCTGCCCAGTGCAGGATTCGCTTAATTGTCAATACGACGAAGCGTGAAATGACTGTACTCCTAACGACTCTTTGGTGTCGGTTCCTCATACTTGACCTCTCTTTGTTTTGGCTGTGAAGGACAAGGTTGACCTAGTCGGGACAGGCAGGACGCAGGCTTAGCCCACAGCCCACTTGGCCAGTAGCAAAGTGACTACGTTCACTAGTTTCACAGGTTCACCGCTCCACTTTGGCCTGTGGTACTGGGGGCATCGTGCTCCCGATGTGACAGTGAACTAGGCTGATCACTTCATAAATCACCTGTGGGATTGACAACGGAGGGCGTTCGCTAAAAATCTGAAAGCAAGTACCATTCCAATGGAGAGTTGACCCACTGAAGTTTTGCAACTTCACAACGCATGCGTGCAACAAATCGCTTCTGCGTCATCTCCCGATACTCATCGGATTACTGTTCACACCGTCTGATTAATTGCTGAATACGGGCGCACACCTGATTAAAGCTTTACGAGTGTAATACCGTCTGTTAGTGCGTTAGGTCTAATCGCTTTCCAATGAAAATCAAACGGTTGTCAGATTTCTTTTCTCGCCTCCGTTCCCAGTGTATATATTTTCGCTCGTACCTATTGCCCCACTTCCCAGAACGAAAACCGAATTCAGTGTTTACCACTGTCCCCTGTAGGCTACCAAATGTGTTTCCAAGCCCTTTACACTAGCTTAAGTTTGGACCAATCAGACCAGAAAGCCACATTACTTTTGTCTCTGTCAATCCTACTGTCCGGCCTACCGATTCCGCTGACGTAAGTATCCACTGCCAAATGTATAAAAGTACCTATCAATCTTTTCTCTTCATGCACTGTCCAGGATTCTAAAACTCTGTTTAGGGTGTTGACTATCCGTTGGAGTGACGAACTGCAAGAGTAAGAAAATGCCCGCAGTTTGTTACAAGAATTTGTTCCACTCTTTGAGCGCTTCGGTTTGTTTCTGAGTTTTAAAACCTCGTTCACAATATGACTGGCAGTTCTGAGTTTTCTCGAACGCGGCTGCAATATCGTATCAGCGGTATTCCGCGGCTCTTTTCAAAGTCAAGGCATCACCACTGGAAGAACAAGCAAATGTATCTGCTCTTTTAAGCTTGAAAATCTTGTATGTTAAAAATCTCCAACGCAGCCCGAAAGCAACCAACCACTCCTTGTAACAACTCTGTATGAGCTCATGAATTTAATGTCTCAAAGTTGCAGGAACAAGATCAACTAGCCATTATATTTACACGATTCGTGTCCCGAAGCAAACCGATGTTTCAACAGTTGCTGTATGATACGAAGAATGGGTTATAATCTGGCATTGGTTCAACAAAGCCTGTCATTCGAGGGGGTGACGTTAATCCAACACCATTACTGCTTACATTCTTTCAAGGGACAAGGTGTCGACGCGACTTGTCTTATATATCGAAGCGTTTCACAGGACAAAACGGATACGACTCGACAGTCTCACAAAACAACAAAGATATATTGATTAATGTTCAACTGTTGTTTTGCCGAGGAATCAGAAAACCCGGGTCGATAATCCTTTTCTGCTACTAATGCAGAAGGAATGGATAGTGTTTCTTGTTCGGTTACTGCTTCCCGATTTGACGAGCACATAATTATCAAAACTTTCTTCGGGGGTACTGGCTGCCTGTATGTCCCTCGCAAAGGGGTAAAATCATGCAGCCATTGTGACAATAACTACTATCCGCGGCAAACGAACAAACAATAACTTCTTGTAGCATACTGTTGTGGAGGAGCTACACAATATTATGGAGTAGAAAACGGCAAAAAGACAGACCTGAAAGGAAATGGCAAAAGCCACAAGGTAAGCTTTGGACGAAGTAGGTAACTGTGTACGTGCAAGGACAGATATTTCGACGAGGTCGAACGCAAGCGTAGTAACATGTAAAGGCGGAAGTTGATAGACAATTACGTGGCTGAGCCGTGACAGTGAGCTGCGTCCATGCGTAATCACAGCGATGCAATAAAGAGCATGCTTCGAAACCAACAGAAAATCTCGATGATGTGCGGGAAAAGTTGACGGACAAAGCCGATGAAATCAAGTTAGGCGCAAAAAATTGGACGGTTCACTTTCAGACTTGTAACCACATCCAGCAGTGTAAAAATGAAACAGACGGACGAGGTACAGACAGTCAGGTCCGCGCTCACCTTTGAACGGAGTGCTCCCTAAAAGTTTTAAAAATAGCAAATAGATGTGAACCCTTTTCCACCGAAAACAGAAACACCACTGTAGATCGCCATCATAGCTGCTAGGTAAGCAGTTGTGAGGCATGCCAACAGCAAAGGTACATAATGAGCACTACGAACTGCGGCTCTCAAACTTAAGTACACTGATCGTCCGCCTTCTTGCTCATCCCAAGTCACAAGGCTCAGTCGGATTTAGATATGATTATGGCAATCCATGAAGTAACTTATAATAGATGTTTAAAGCTAGATGGTGGGAGTTAACCAGAGCAAGGAGCTGGGCTCGACAGCATCCAAAGTTTAAGTAGTATGACGTTGCACGCCATATCCATAAGAACTTCGGGAATACACCGGACCGGCCACACTGGAGATGGGACCATAACTCGAAAGAGTTCGTGTTTGAAGCAACCGGAGAGATCCTAGCGAATACCATGCACGGTCATATGGTCACACTGGATGGGCCACTACAGGAAAGTATTGAGAGAGCAACATATTCAAAAGTTTACCTGAATAAAAAACACAAAAATATGGTCAGACAGACATTGCAGGAGCTACCGGTTGGTAGTGTTGTTTTCTCGTAATACAGTCCAGTTGTAATCGACGGTAAAGAAAACGACCGCGAACCGCCCGCAGCGGTGTCTGACAATCAGGTAACTCGTATAGCCACAGGAATAGACCGTCGTAAAGAGTGAAGGAGGTTACGCCCACTCAAACAGGGCTTTCGGTAGCCCTCACCTTGCTGGTCTCGTTCGCTGAGCAAAAACAATAAGTACTCTTTCGTACAGGTGGAATATGGGTTGTACGGTGTGTGTAGAGGTCAAGGTGAGGAAGTTTACTTTTCTCTGACTTATAGTTTTTGATCATAGCCACGGACAGCAGACAATTAGTCAAAATTGCAACCGAAAGAATATAAAATAAGGTCTAACTACTGAATGCCAGTACTTAACAAGGAAGATAACAGACAAGTTGTTAGATTCACGTTTGGAAAAGGTTATGCGACAGCTTGAAGATGATAGGGGAACCCCTTGGCTCGAAAGTCTACACTATGTAGACGGAAGCTCCGATGGATTTAAAAAAGGGACTAATAAAAAAATTCCAGAACGATGGAATCGCGTATAAAAAGGTTTGTCAAAAGGGATGGAGAAAACTTCAAAACATGTTTAATGTCAAGTTGTGGCTACCTTCATAGGGTACAAAGGTTCAGTGAGAGGTTGCTCCCTAAAAAACTTCCTAATCGTGACGGTGGTAAAATCCTGGGAGTACTGTAGACAATACATTCAAGTAACTTCTGTTCAACAAAAGTGCGCAACCGGATGAAAAATTCCGTCTGCGCGTTGACTGGGTGTTGTCGGATTCACCTCGAAAACGTTGGAAAATGTGGGATGAGTTGGTCCACCCTAGTTGGTTAGCCTGGCCTATCAACTTAAGAGTCTGACTACTTGAGACTGGTCAGAGTCTGTAAGGATTACAATGCGTGCTAAGCCAAACAAGCCAGCGACTTCTGCTTTACGATAGTCCAATCTGACCTCGTAGTATTCGATTAGAGTAAAAATCAGTTGGGGCAAACTTATTCCAAATTGTAAAGCCTGAACATTTTAATGCAGGTCGTATTATTGTCGCTGCTTGAAAGATAGATCAGCAAACGAACCCAGGTTGAACCATACTAGGCCCACATAGGTCGGCTGGTGGTATCTCCCCTGATAACAACGAAAGTCCCTTATTATCTATGTTACGTGATGATGAAGGGAGAACTGTGTAGACATGGATGATAATCAGGCTTCCTCGTGAAGTATCAAAGTAACAATAAATTATATCAAACAATGGCATAACATGCTCACGAGACAACGAGGAAAATGGATAAATATAAAACTAGTAAAAGTTCACCGATGGAAAGCTAGATGGATTTGAATTACACCGACAGCGATATCATGGACGTGCAGCAATGGCAAGTGTGGAGCGGGAATGACCGCAACGACAGTTAGGGTACAACGCCCACTCACTTCATCTACATGGCCCTAAATGACGGGGTGCAGAAGGCAGTCTGAATTAGAGGAATCCAAAATACCGGAATTCACTAATTACGAAAGTAGTACATGAGCGTACCTGACCAAGAACATGTGGTTATCAAACTGGTTTGAAATGGCTTATGACGTCCTTTGCCCGAGAGTTGGTCCGTAACCTTATATCTCAAAGAATTCGTCAGCAAGACTGTGAATTCATGGAGTTTAGAACAGAGAGACTAATTTGCGGTTCAGTTCAGGTTAAGATGCCAGGCATAAAAATATACATGAAGAGGATAACTCTACAGTGCTATGACACCAGTCTCACTAAGGAACCAATCAGAATGGCCTGTTTGGATTCGGCCATCCATTTCTCGGAAGAAGGTCTAGTTGCGTACGACACTTAGCACCACCAAACGATATCACTGTGAACATTTAATTAGAAACTAACATCGTCAGGGTCTTCCATTTTGTAGGCAATCTTTCCGATCGCATCACCAACGTTCTTGAATATCTTCTTGGCAGATGCGCCTGAAAGAAGTTGTGTGTTGACCGATCGGGGTAAGTCTCCCGTGAACTCCAAAAATTCCCGAAGATCTGGGTCCTCACGTAATACAGGATGGTTCAGCAAACGATGAAGGAACCTGGCAAGAAATAAACCAGCAGACAGACGACTTACCGCTCCAGAGCCACCCGTCTACGTTCAACAAATTCATTCTCTTGTGAAATGTCTTTGGACATTTTTATCTTGGTTGAACCTATAGAAATTATGAACTAATCGCCTTTGGATAAGGCTTTACCGAGAACATTTTTATCCGGTGCAGGTGGGATGATAATTCCCGTGCTGTGGTGACGATTGTAGATTTTCACATAAAGTCCGAGGAAATCCGAAAAGCGCCGTGTCACGTGAAAAGAAGTACCTTTGAAAGGGTGGTCATAACCCTTTGAACACAATTCAATCAATGAAGATAGGACGACTAACTTACGTTGAATATAACATGGTAGACAATGTATGCACCCATCCCATCACCAACTTTCACTGGATCTGTTACTCGGACACTGTAGATTTTCGGCTTTTCAGGAACCTGGAATTCAGTAGAGTTGGATTAACCACCTAGAAAACACTACCTCATCGCGTGTCTTAACTCCATTTCGCACAGGGTCAGAAACAGGTGGTGGTGAACACTGGTCTAATTCCAGATTTGCCACCGACTGGATGAAATGGGAACAACTCAGATCTTGCTCGTCTATCACACAGGCAGGCGACTCATGACCAAACTCATTATTTTGGCCTTCCATAGTCCGGAAGCTGAAAATCAGAGTACAAGATTACTCAGAAGTCTGGCAACGTAAATTCCACTATAATTGCAGGTGTGAAGGGAGATGTGCTGCTGTCTTTCCGACAAGGTCGAATGACCATTGGATGTAATCGCAATCACTGGTCCTGATTGATGCTAGGAAATCAATACCAGCAGGCAACGAGTACGAAGACGCAAGTAAGTCATTCAAAAGCCAAATAGTGAGGAGTCAAAGGAAAAATCAGGAGCTTTGGTGGACATCGAAGGATCAGAAGACCGAGAGTACATTTGTTGCCCGAAACAACTGTGTCCAATACTAATTAATACAATTAACCGGTCAGAAGAAAGTAACGGTAAGTGGACCAATAGGTGAAAAAGAGCGCTCATTAATCCGATGGAAAAACCGCTGACTGGAAGGATGTGTCCAACACTTCGAAGAACAGTGTAGTTGGTCTCGTTTAACACATGAATTTAATAAATAGGGGCGAATGGAATGTATATCCCAATCACAAGAAATAAGATACGAATTAGCTCTACAGAAACGTGAGAAAGCACCAGGACCAGATGGTCTGTATCTATTCCTCTTCAAGGAAGGCGGAGAATCAATTTGACAAGACTCATTGATGCGATATCGAGTGAAGAGAAAAGGCCTGCAAACTAAGGCACGTCGACAACTATTTCTATTTTCAAAAAGGGCAAGCGAACAATGTATGAAAGATACTTTGGCATTAACGTGGTAGTTGTGACACTGAAGTATCGAAGTTTACAAACGCGGCAGATCCTCGAGAATCAAGCTGGGTTCCGTCCTGCAGAAGGACGCACCGATCACATTTTCACCCTCCGACAGCTTTCGAAAGAGCAACACTGTTTCCAGCAACCAAGAATGATGGTCGTCCTTGACTTGAGAGCTGTCTTTGACTTCGTGGACGGTTAGGCACTACGGCAGTATCTGTGGAGCCGGGTAAGCGAAAAGCGTGCTAGTGCAGACGTTCTCCTTTTTCCCTTCCACGTAATTATTCACCCTCCCCCAACCCATCATTAACACTCTCCTTGTAAGCCCATCCGAAAAGACTGACGACCCCGTTCGTCCTGCATTGGTCTTAGGCGCGACATCTGTGCGTCAGGCGGCGCTAACAGCCTCAGGCATATCAAATTCAATCTTTTAGCCTCGACTCCTGGTCTATCCGCCTGCTTTTTATTTTCACACTCTGGAGAAAGCAGGACAAGTTGCTTGCATGCTGGACGGCACCAACGCGTGTTGCGCATTAGTAAAAGCGTATGCAAGATTTAAGTACATTAGCTGAGCTCTCCATTTGCTTCTGCTTGATTTAGAGACCATTTAGGCAGACTGTGCAGAGATCGGCATCATTCTAAGCCACTAGGAGGTCGGGTTCGAAAAATGGACCTTGCGGTTGGCAAATTAGCGCTCTAACCAGTGAGCCACCTCGCCCCCGGCAGATCCCGAAGTTAGAAAATTCATCAGAACCAATCAATCAATTCAGTTTATCAGCTATAAACTATGTGCCATAGGCCATTTGGTTCCAGCTGCTACAGTTTCGATAACGGAAAACGGGAAACTGGAATACAAAACCAAGCCTTGGAGGCGAAGGCATGCTCAGTTTGTTCAGAAATTGGATGGCTACGCATTGAAGGCGATAGCTTTGATGCACGAGCGCCACTGGCTGTGCGATAGGGCCACTGCCGCCAATGTCGTTAACCGCTGGTGATTTGAGTCCCGGGAGTCCCCATCCAGGGAGGCGGCGGTTGACCACCCGACCTAGTTTCCTGGTTACTGTTTTCGTACTTCGTTGTCAGGTTATACATTGTTCGCCTCTCGGTCGCTTCCACTCAGTCCAGGGCTTGGCAAAAAGATCTTTGCGAGGCGGACAATCTTCTGACATGCGGAGCACATGACCCACCCAGCGTAGCCTATGAAACGTGGGTAATTCATTTTATCACTAGAGAGTCCCCTCGTCCTAAGATCAGAGAGAGCAAACATCAATTTTAAGGGAGTATAGGGTCTCAGGAAGCATTGCCTGTTTGCCAATTTGACAGAGTACGGACGTTAACAGCTCCCATATAGAAAGGATCTCGTGGATTTAAGAGGATATTTTGTTCATTGTTAGTAAGCAGCGAGGAACATATGGCCCATCGGTCAAACAACTGACAGTCAAATAGCCCAGCGACGTTTGTTTGTGTGGTGGGAAGGGGTTGGGGAGGAACATCGGTGGACACCGAAATGCGCGGAAAAATGATACTTCCCGGTTGCCCAGGTGTCTCAAATTAGCAAACGTGACCTGGGCCATTGCAGATTCGTGCATCGACCTCATCTGTCATCTTAAAACCAGAACTAATACAACGTCCAAGATACTTAAAACGCTGCATAACTTTCAGTATCTCTCCCTGGAGTTTAAGTTGCGCGTTCAGTGACTACAGGTCCACGAGCACGACCTTACACTTTGTAGGTACAAAGTGCACACCAAAGGACGGGATGACTTTGGTAAGTTCATCCAAAAACATCTGCGCCTTCTCTTCCTCTTCGAACATGAGAACGACGTGTCTACATATTCCAGATCGACAAGACCTTTGTCACAGGCTATTTGAACACCAGAGTTTTTGAGATCCGCCAGCGTTCGTCTCATTATTTCATCGATCGCGAAGTTAAAAAGGAATGGAAAGAGTGGGTACCCCCGACGGACATCACCTGGTGTACGGAAGCTTTTGGAGGGTTCTCCGTATACTCACACGTCCGGAAGTCTGAGAATACAAACAGCTCATTATGTTTGCAAACTTCCGGGGCATTAAGTGGTGGTCAAGTGTGTCAAGAAGAACCGACCGATCAACCGAGTCGAACGCGCCTTGCAAATCCAGGAATACTAGAATTATACGTATGGAGTAGTTCAAACACCTGACGGTGACAAGATTTGGTCAACGCAAGACATACCACGCCGGAGTTCCGCTTGCTGCTCTTGAGTCATTGTCTCACGAGCCACCGTAAGGCGACGACGCCAACAGTTTCGTTACGACCGGAGTCAAGCTGATTTCCCTCTGGTTACAACACTCAGTAACAGCCCCTTTTTCGAAAATGGGCACTATCGCCAACTCCCCCTAGTTGTCTGGGACAGACTCCTTTTCCCAACTGCAATGAAATAGATCAGACAAGTGTTGAATGAGGACTTCTCTCCCCTCTTTGAACAATGCGGGTGGGAGGTCATCCGGACCAGGAGCCCCGTGGCACTTGAGGGAACGTATGCAGTCGTCAACCTCCGAGGACGTAGGTGGTCCCACTTTCACTGTCCAGGGTTCTACTTCACCTATGGGCTTCAGATGAGTGCCAGCTGGTGGCCACAACAGTTGTTGTTCAAAATATTCGGCCCATCTGTCGAGGCGTTCTTCTTTATTCGTGATGATCGTTCCATTCTAATGCTTGATGGTTTCGCTCACAGGTGGTTTCCGGGGACCAGCCGCACGGATCAACTGAAATAATCTTAGGACATAACCAGCTTTCCGAGCCTCTTCCATTTCTTTGGCCTTCTATGCCCACCATAATTAACGATTGGCTCGCACGCTCAATTTCACCTGACGTCTGATAATTCTTCGCACCAGGCTATGTTCGGGACCGGCTGCGATATCTCTCCGAGATTTGAGCAGTGCCACCACTCGGTTTGATATCCAGTGCTTGCGCGCGCCTGTTTGGGCCGTGCCACAGGCGAAATTCCCAGCACTATACTCACAGGTGGCAATCTCGTCCCCGTATGCGATCACATTTGACGGTGGAGCACTTGGAAGAGACTCTAGAAGACGATTCTGGTAAATTCATCTAACAGCCGGACCTGCCAGTCTCTCAGTAGTCCAGCGATTTGTCCGCACCTTACGTGGCTCAGGGAAACGTAGGAAGAAGCGAGTCCGGACGAGTGCGTGGTCAGAATCCATAAACGTGATTCAAAACGACCGGCAGTCAGTTACTGATCCAAACCATCGGTAGCTAATGGCAACGTGATTGATTGGTGGCCGGTATGCCGTTGGAGGACACTCTGTGGCCAGACGACTCCAGTTATTCCAGAAGTTAATACTGCATAAAAACAGCCTGCGATCAGCACACCGCAGAAGCAATCGTTCCCCTTTGTCTGTACTTATTGAGTCCTATCCATGTCAACCTCCCAGTTGAATCTCAGATAGGCTAAGCCTTCCCGCCTGCGCATTCAAATCTCAGGCAACCACCACGATGTCCGAGCTTTTTGCTCGCCGCACCAGGGCATTCAGGGTGTTGCAAAACCTGTCTTTGATGGCGCCGGAGCTACGGTCAGCTGGGGCAGACACGACAAGCGATTAGCTTCCTGCTTGTGAGACCCCCCACAGACGTTGCCAGACGAACCGCACAGGGACGACTATGGACAGGTACCCAATCATGCAAGGATACTTCCGCCCGGTGACTTAGGACGATACCAACCCCTGCACGTCCCGCCGTAGGAGCCTCTGAATCACCAGAGGTACTCAGCCGGAAGCGAGTGGAGAATGATGGGGCAGTTAGTTCAACCACTGTGTTTACTTCTTGAATTCTTGTTTCTGATTCACAGCACAACCCAACGCCAAGGGAGTCCAGTCTGAGATCAAGAGCAGCTTGTTCCCTGCTTGCTTCGGAATGCAGACATTGAAGGCTTGGAGATTGATTTCGAGATAGATGAGGATGTCAGCGCCATGTGACGAGCAGATGCTGTATGCAAAACCGATGCATGACGAACACAGTCATCAGTCCTGAGTTCTGGGGGCACAAGGAGAGAGTTATTAATGGGGCGTGGAGGGGGAAGAAAAAGTATGTGAAAGAGAAAGAAGGGAGGTGTCAGCAGTAGCCTGTTTGCGCTTACCCGCCGTGTTGTATGCAGCGAGTAAGGAAACCTGGCTGCTGACACCATGCGACGGTCGATGTGGCATGGGAGTATTGTTAGTTGTAAGTGTCATGATTGTACGTGGGGTGGGATACTGCCAGGGCGACAGGAGGACTATTAGAATCCTCAGCCAACGCCGTTGACTCAAGATCCCGTCCATCAGGCAACGATTTTTGGCGGGAAATGCAAACACACTACTATTTCCACAGAACAAGTCACCATATGTTCCAAACCTCACCCTGGAGGGCCGGGAGACTATGTTTGTCAGACCGTCACACCACGGTAAGATCCAATGTCTTCGTGACGGCACAAACTACAAAGTCACAACTTCATGTTGATTTGCGAAACTGATCAATAGATATCCACAGTAAGTGGCGAGAAATGTTTAGCACGAACCATGTTACTGCTTGTGCTTTCATTTCAAAACTTAATGTTTGGCCACTTTGAAGTCCCAACTATGATTGTTTCTGACAACGGCAGTGCATTCACGTCCGCTGGATTTTCCATTTTCTGTCAAGAAAATAGTATGCAACATGTTCGATCACCACCGTTCCATCCACAACCAAATGGCTAGGTGAAAGGATGTGTGGACACTTTCAAACACCCAATTTCGACACTCAAAGAGGGAACCACACCGGAAATCATCCAGATATTTTTGCTGAGTTACAGGGCGACACTAAATGCTAAGGCTCTACATAGAAACTCCCTGACTGAGATGCATATGAACCGGAAGATCGGTTTACTTGGTGAGGGCATCCGTCCAACCCCACATTCATTAACCGGTGGAAACACAAATATGGAACTTCATTTCAACCGACATCACGGTACTATAACATATTTACACCTGGAAAATCCGTACTAGCAGAAGACCACTGTGGTGGTGCAGAAAAGTGGACACAAAATATAATAGTGTGCTGTGCTGGAAAACCTGCCTATGATGTAAACGTGGTCTCCTCTATCTGGGTCCGTCAGGCCAATCAGCTGCTCTCCTAGCCTTTTTTAGCGACAGCTACACTCAATCCTGTTTTTCCACCAAACATTCTTCTCCACACATTTGAATTAGCTCAAAAGCATGAATCTGCAGAGCCAATAAATGAACAAGTAATTTCCAAAAGTTGCGCACCTAGAAGATGGATGGATCCAACACGAAGGCTCACCATATGATCGCAACTCAACCCTCAGCAGCAGTTCTATGACGAAGTACTTCAAATAAAAGATGTTAGAAAAACTGATTCCGAACGAACAAATCCACTGATGCTAAGGATATTCCTGTATGCTGAAACCTTTTTTCTACCTTTCAGTCTCCCACTGACATCCTATTGGACTGTTAGCTCTTTTTATATTCTGATTCGGTCGAGTCTCACACCACGGAATGATCCACTTGTTTGTAGAATAACTCCCTCGAGATTATTTTTCTCCATTCCGGTGAACTGATGAGTCTGATTGATATGTCACAAGAAGACATTACACCGTGCGCGAAATGGCTCAGTGATTAGGGCACGAATTTACTGACCGAAAGGTCTGTGGTTTGAACCCGACCTCTGCCTCCCGACTAGGGCAACCTGGCAGCAGCCCAGCCCTGATGCTTCTTTCTGGTGGCATGGCAGTGGGACATCGAAAGGGTGCTACAGCCTAACGATAACATAGATCAAGACCATCAAAGGCAATATTCACATGGGAACAGAAGACTCTGTTCGCTTTTTGAAAGAGGATTATAAAATAAAGGGAAAGCTAAGCTTTTGGCAACTTCCAAAAATTGCGAGCGTCTGGGATACTCTAAAAATAGGTTCTGTTAGAACGGAATATTTCACAATCTAAAGTTTCTGCGTTGTGCCAGTGTATCCCCAGATTCGACAGCCTTCCCTTCTGCACCCACGGGGACAGCTGTGGTGTTTTCTGATGTTCGACCATATGCTAACATAAGAAAAATCACTTACCACGTCGGGATGCATTGATCCTGATTAAACCAGTCAACCGCAAAGTGCAAAGGTGACCGCAATACAGGCCAGTTAAGCGCTATTTCTAGGCCATAGAAACGACGAGCCACTGCATCAGCATCACGAGATACCAAAAGAGTCAAGAATGAGGAATCTGAGGTCTTCCGGGGCGATGAGGGCTATGACAGAGCTGGGCTTCTGTAAGTGCTGAAAGCCATGTAGACATTCACCCCAGTCATAAGTTTATATACCACAGCGACTTAATCACTCTCGTCTAACCAATGTACGGCCCATAACGTCCGAAAAAATCTTAGTTACCCAACCAGGTCTTTGTTCAGTCAATCATATTTGCATTTGGGCTACTAGTCCCAGTTAAAGATAGATAATAATATTACTCGTTCAGCTGTAACACCCTTTCGGTGCCCAGCTGCCATGCCACCCGAAGGAAGCACGAGGGCTGGGATACTGCCAAGTTGCCCAAGCCTGGGCAGGGGAAGTCGAGAGGCA